TGATGCAATAAGAAATGACTAGAAAGGAAGGTATTAAGTGTGTTGGTAGATGGAAAGGGCTTGTAATGGTAAAGTTAATTTGTATATTAGGACCCACAAAATAGAGGCCACCCTAGTGGCCCAGCCCATGTCACAAATCTAAGCCTAAGTCATCCTGCACTTATGGGACCCACCTGTCAAGGAAATCCAAAACATACCAATCACTATTGTCCAAGTCAGCTTAGCTAACTTCCTTTACCCTAGAAAACAGGAGCTGTTAGCCTCATAAAGAAATCGCTGACCTCCTCGCTCATCCTGCCGTTTCCATGTTGCCTCTTCTAACATTCTATAAAACTCGCTCTTGCCCAAACTCCCTCAGGAAGAGCGCTCCTCCGCCTGTGAGGCAATGCACCCCACCCCGCAACCCATGGACTATATTCCCTTCCTTGCATAAAGGCCATCAAACTCGTTACTAAATTGTTTAATCATTTGACAGTAACCACAGGTCTTGATCTGATTAGTATGAGTATCTTTGGCCAGAAAACACAGGAAGCAACTTTTAGAGTACTCACTACAGCCCCTTACACAATAAATTACCAATAAATCATCATTGAATATATATGCCCCTTTAACTCCTATGGAGTGCTACATTTTCCCCTTCGTAGTAACAAGATTGGCTACATATAATTTTTCATATGCCAGCAATAAAGGTTTTAAGATCACAAATTAGTTCCCTTCTCACCCTCCATTTCATTTCTGCCTTGAAGACAGTGGGAATATTCACAAATGTGCTACAAGGAACACAGAGGAAAGAACAACTTTGCAACAGAACACTTTCATTATAGGCTCACTCTGACCCTGAAAACTCTGCTTCATTTACACAAAATATTTTAAATATCATTCATTTATTGCCTTAAAAAATAACAGGAGATGAGACCAAATACAGACTGTGCAAGTTACTGTTTTAATTTTTGTGTAGTTAGCAATAGTTTACTCCTTTACAATGATTTGATGCAACTGATGAAAATATAGGTAACACTGGACGAAAGACTTAGTTGAAGAAATCAAGGAAAGGGGAACGAGAGAGAGAGAGAGAGAGAGAGAGAGAGAGAGAAACTGAACTGTGAGAGAGACACATCCACTGGTTGCCACCTGCACGCACTCCCTCTCCCCCCTGGAGTGAACCCACAACCTAGATACCTACCCTTGACTGGGAATCGAACCAGTGACCCTTTGGTGGGTGGGCCAATGCTCTAACTGGCCAGTGCTCTAACCACTGAGAAACACTGGCCAGGGCCAGGGCCAGAGTAGCATCTAGATTACTGCTACCCAGGATGATATGTAGATTTCAATTTGCATTTCAACTCTTGATTCATTCACAGAAACTGCCTGAATAACTTGTGCTGGGAAGTTTGGTGGCTGTGTCCACATTTGTGATTAACATTGCATAATGGGTGATTGGCTGCGAGCAACAACCTATCCGGCACCTCTGATTTGTAGGAATAGAGGTCTTGCATGCAGGTCTTTATAGCCTTCCCAAAGTGACATTTCTCATTATAGGATGTTGAGAATTATTCTGTGTGGTAGAGAGTACGAGGTCATTGTCATTGGCCAAAACTTCAGGGCAGACACTTTGAGATATTGATTCATTCATGTGCTTTGAGGAGGAAGGTAGTGTGAGGTTCTATTATGAAAATTGGCCCCCATCACCTTTTTATAAAGGCTGGCAGAGGAAGTACATATGGGCAGGGCTAAACACTTTTGGGTAAACTCCATCAGACAGCCTATTAGGTGATTAAAGACCAGAAAAGGCACCCCCTGGCAGTGGGCAAGGAGACACCTGATTGGTGGTTTGCTCTTATATCAATCAGGGGCCAAGCAGATATACAGTCCTTAGTTCATCTTAGCTTGATGCCTGTGTTGGTGGCCAGAGCTGTTTCATGTCTGAGGCACATATAAAAGACCAAAAAGCCCAACTATATTTTTCTAGCTGCAAAGATTTTAGCTTAGAAAAATAAGCATTGTGTACCAAGACCATGAAAAACTTTCAATGTAACATTCAAGAAGCAGTGTAAATATTTAAATATCTACAAGAACATATCAGAAAACTCAGTGTGAGTCTTGCTTTTACTACATGGAAGTCATAATTTATTGGTCTTCATTCACAGGATGAGACACATAGACAGGCACACAAGCATCCAATTTAAGTAACTGCCCTTTAAGTCCCCTCTGTAGGAATATAACACTGGCAAAATTACACTCATTCAGTTTGTCTAATTTTTGTTTTCAAGCAATAGTGATTAACTCACTGAAGTAAAAAAAAACGTTAGCCTGTAAAAAAATAAACCAAAGTTCATAATGGTTATGGCTGTCAATTAACTTACAAAATTTGATGAGCTGTTTGAATATCCTAGTTTCATAAGATTTTAGCATCTTAAAATAAAGCATAAAATATCAGGATGAAGACAAAAATATTTCAAATCCTTGTTTATAATAGATCCTGAAAGTGTTTTAAATTTTCTTTCTGTTTAGGAATGAGAATAAAATGTAATGTACCTCAAGATACTTCATTCCCAACAGTGTTAGGTATCTTAGAAATCCAGTTTATGATTATGATTAGTCAACTGAGTTATATTAAACAATCCAATATTGATGGGCCATGAGAAATGCAACCCTTATATTATTAAGAATGTTTTAATCCTAAAATCAATTATTATTACTTTCCAGCTAGATCTTTTGGAACCATGTGACACATCCAAAGCTACATAAACTCCAATTTTCCATCAGAAATCTGTAACTTAACATTATTATTAAGAGCAACCTTAATAAGAGTACTTATCAAGTGCAAGGACTAAGCATTAGGTACTAGTGAGTGGAATGCACATTGATACGGGCAGTATACATGCATTTTAGTTAAAGGAGTTTTGCAAACAGCCCCAATGTCATAAACTAGAGGATGTTGTAGAAAGTGAAGGCCTGCAGGACCCAGTGGGGACAAAGGAGGGGAAAAGTGGCTTCCTCCCCAAACAGCCTTTGTGGGAATCAACTCACTGGTCCCAAGAGGAAGGTGCTGCAACCATATAGTCTTTTCTTGTAAAGGTTTTTCAATCTTGTTACTTAATACTAATAGTTAAATGTTTACTCGAGAATGGGATATGTAAAGGGGATAAAATCTGAGTACAAATTTTATATTAAAATTTTGAAGCAAGATTTTTTTTCTGTAAGGCTTAAACAGAAAAATACAATGAAATTCTAATTAGGCAAGTCAGATAAAGTAGATAAGGGAGGGTAAAATTAATCAGTTATGGTAATAATGATCTTGAGATTTAATTAGAAATAAGATCATAGGTTTGATTATTCTAGTCTATAATTAGCCATCTTAATAAGAAGATAAATGAACTTATTGTAATAGTAAATCCAGAATACAGAGCAAATAATATATTATAAGCATATAATATGTGAGATAAAAATTATATATTATATATATTAAACCGATCTCTCATTTAACCAGTATCCTATAAATTTATTAAATGGTAATCTTTAGAGAAACATTAGTTAGGCCTTTAACTGGTCCTTTCTTCCTCCTTATTAGTTGTGTTAATGGAAATAACTCCACATAAGAATAATAATAAAGGGAAACAAAGATTTATGAAATTTGCAAATTGATAAGTTACGCTGGTGGTAGCAATATGGAGAGAAACCTTCATAAATATAGAGCTTTGAACAACCAACATGTAGTCACCATAGGGAAAACAGTTTTAAAAGAGAAGACACTTGGGTCAAACTTCACTTCCACAAGTAGTATAAAAGTTAATTAAAAGCAAACTTGTTGCCTTCTTTCAATATAATACTGGTGTGTCCAACCTGAGAACTCTTCAAGGTAAACTGTGCACACCTAAGTACCTTGCACCCAGCAGTTAAGACTGAACCTCATCATTGGTACCCGGTTCAATGACGAACAGATAATGAGACAGGTAATGAGAAAACTCACTACACCTACAGCTAGGAGGTTTTTCTCAGAATGACATAGGGCTTATTTATTTATACATGTGAACAATAAAAGTAATAATGCCAATTTACCAAGTGTCAGCACCAACTGTCTCCAATATACTAGATTCCAGGTTGCTGTTTCTGATATTGGGAAACTAAGAAGGAATACGCGGTCCCTTACCCAAAAGCATCTGCACAGTGAAAGTAGCTCCTCAGACTTGGTGCTATTGTTATCTGGGGCTGGAGAACACTTTTCTGTAGGGGCTGTCCTGTGCACTGTAGGATGTTTAGCAGCATCCCTGGGCCCCACCTACCGATTAGAAATCACGGAACTCCCAGCCCCCTGAAGTTCCACCAACTTAAAATGTCTCTAAATGTTCTTTGGAGACAAAATTGCCCTTGATTGAGAACCACTAGGTTAAAATAGAATAGGTTTGCACATGAGACAAAAATATTTTATCACCATATCTATCTTAACCTAATGATAGTTTAAAGAGAATAGAATCATTTTTATCTCTCTAATTATTCCAAACATATTGGGGTAATTATTATAAACCTCTTTAAATTGTTTATTTTATATCAATTTCATTACAATTAAAAGGTGAAGGATCACATTTGATTAAAACTCTACCACTTCTATTCTAGAAAATTAGTGAGTGGTGCTAAATAATTGTAATAGATACTAGTTTTAAAAATGCAGGATTTTTAAAAATCTTATAAAAGATTTCCATATTCAATGATAAAATGTTTTGATTTATTTTAACGTGTCACAGCCAGATATATTTCCAAAAACATAAAAATGTACAGAGTAACATCATATTTTAAATGGTTTCACAATTTACTGTAGTAGATTTAGGTGCTATAGGTTTAGAAAATTCCTGTTTGTGATAATCGGGGGTCAAAATTCAAAAGCAACATCAGTTCTCACTACCTCTTGTTTTCTTACAGTAAATGAAGCATACACATGCCCACATGCATTGACAACTCTAATAAACTTTTAAAAGGCATTTGGAATGAGTAAAAAGAATGACGTGTTTTCTGTTTGTGTGATCTCATATTTAATTTACCTTCCTGAGCAGTAGATCAATAGCTATGTGCCGAGAAACTGCTTTTGAAGAGTATCGTGGAGTATGAAAAACATGGAGAAATCAATTTCTTTTTCCTGTCTCAGGAGACTCGGTGCTTTTCGTAATGCTCATGGTAAACAGTAATCTCACTTTTTATCTGCATTCTCTAAACTTGGAACATTGGAAGTCAATAGTAACATATTCAAAATGATTGAAACTACTTTACCCGTCATCATTACCACTGTTACTAATAAGTTATTAGGCTCCTATATGTGGAATGCTGAAATGAGCATTGTATGAAGCAAGTTACAAGGATACAAATCCTGTGGGCACTCACTACTTAAAAGTTGTACATCAAAACAAACACTAAATTTGTGCAAGCTATTGACAAGTGTAAGAAAGCAAAGACAATAGGTTGAGAGGTACAAATCCTAGAATGTAGCTCTGTTTTCCATCTATTTTATAGAGATTTCCACCAAGCTATTTAACAATTAATTCATTTTTAGCACTTTCTATGTGATATGTAATGTGTGGTGTCTTTGGATTTGAAGTCAAGTTATTGACAGTGCTTCACATTTGTCACTAAGGTTTTGTCTTTCTATTCACCTGACAGAACCAATAAAAGATGTTATTTTGAATCACGTCACGTTGGGCCACACATCTGACAATTTCTTTTGTTGTTATAAAAAAAAATCCAAACATATAAGCACATCAGCCCATTGTCAGGAATTTACTTTATCCTGATATCAAAATCTTATTACCTTGAGAAATTTTCCATTTCATAGTTCTTTAATATTATGATTGATCTACTTTAAAACAATATGAAACAGATGTGACATGGGGACTTCACCAAGATGGCGGCATAGGTAAACACCGGAGACTGCTGCCGCAAACAACCACTTCAAAAATACAACTAAAAGACGGAACGGACATCACCCAGAACCACAGGAAGGCTGGCTGAGGAGAGACTCTTCAACTAGAAGGAAAGACATCAGCACACCGAGGCTCAGAGGAGGCGCAGTGTGGAAAATTTAAAGGTACCGAGGTGCGCGCGCAAAGCGGGCTGGTGGCTGAGGGCGCGGTTGTCGTTTTCAATCAGGAGGGAGTCTCAGACTCTGAGCTCCAGACCCGGGCGAGTCTCTAGCGACTCAGACTCAAACGGGAGAAGCGGGATTGTCTAGCATCAGTTGGAACGTGAGGGCGGCTTTCTCTCCGAGGATTGCAGCGGTTGCCGGGGTTCTGAGAAGCAGAGCCTCTGGCAACGGGACTGAGAGCAGCCTTAACTGCTCCCTCCGCCCGCCCTGTTGATTCCGCCCCGCCCAAGCCCTGCGCAGAGCCATTTGCCGGATAGCCTCAGGCAAAGGCTAGATTAGCACCTCCCCAGAGGACAGAAGTTTTCCTACAGCTGATTCTCACAGCCAGTCGGCCTGGCGGTCAAATCCCTCTAATATTAACTACAACAATCAAGGCTTAACTAGAACAAGACTGCGCACAAAGACCACAAGGGGGTGCACCAAGAAAGCATAAAAAATGCGGAGACAAAAAAACATGACAGAAATGGAGGATATAGAGCTAAAAAACGCAATTTTGAGGGCTTGCAAAAATGTGCTAGAAGCTGCCAATAAACTTGAGGAGAGACTCACGAAAACTAATGAGACCCTCGATGCTATGATAAAGAAACAACTAGAAATTAAGCATACACGGTCTGAAATAAAGAATATTACACCCAATAGCAGACCAGAGGAGCGCAAGAATCAAGCCAAAGATTTGAAATGCGAAGAAGCAAAAAACACCCAACCGGAAAAGCAAAATGAAAAAAGAATCCGAAAATACGAAGATAGTGTAAGGAGCCTCTGGGACAGCTTCAAGCGTACCAACATCAGAATAATAGGGGTGCCAGAAGATGAGAGACAGCAAGATATTGAAAACCTATTTGAAGAAATAATGGCAGAAAACTTCCCCCACCTGGTGAAAGAAATGGACTTACAGGTCCAAGAAGCGCAGAGAACCCCAAACAAAAGGAATCCAAAGAGGACCACACCAAGACACATCATAATTAAAATGCCAAGAGCAAAAGACAAAGAGAGAATCTTAAAAGCAGCAAGAGAAAGAGACTCAATTACCTACAAGGGAATACCCATACGACTGTCAGCTGATTTCTCAACAGAAACTTTGCAGGCCAGAAGGGAATGGCAAGAAATATTCAAAGTGCTGAATACCAAGAACCTACAACCAAGAATACTTTATCCAGCAAAGCTATCATTCAGAATTGAAGGTCAGATAAAGAGCTTCACAGATAAGGAAAAGCTAAAGGAGTTCATCACCACTAAACCAGTATTATACGAAATGCTGAAAGGTATCCTTTAAGAAGAGGAAGAAGAAAAAGGTAAAGATACAAATTGTGAACAACAAACATGCATCTATCAACAAGTGAATCTAAGAACCAAGTGAATAAATAATCTGATGTACAGAATGAACTGGTGATTATAATGAATCAGGGACATAGAAAGGGAATGGACTGACTATTCTTGGGGGGGAAAGGGAAATGGGAGATGCAGGAAGAGACTGGACAAAAATCGTGCACCTATGGATGAAGACAGTGGGTGGGGAGTGAGGGCGGAGGATGGGGCGGGAAGCGGGAAAAAGAGGAACAAATGTAATTTGAACAATAAAGATTTAAAAAAAAATTAAAAAAAAACCAATATGAAACAGTCATGGATAATGCTTTTATAATTATAATTACAGGAAATTTACTCTATCAGTGTAGTGTTCATTCATGATTCCTTTAAAAAGAATATTATAAGATGCTTATTTGAAGTTTTTAATAAAACATATTTTGAGATAATGGGTACATTGTACAGACTGCCACTTATAAATTCTAAGATTAAAATGTATTAATGCATTTGAGACTAATAAGAATACTACTTAAAATATAATATATACATACATTTATAGTTAAATCTGAAAAGTACTTAGAAATTTAGAAAACACTTTTCTTTCTTTTTTTTGTTAATCCTTACCTGAGGATATTTTTCCAGATCTTTTAGAGAGAGTGGAAGAGAAGGAAAGACAGAGACAAACATCGATGTGAGAGAAACACATCAATTGGCTGCCTCCTGCACGCACCCCGACCAGGGACTAGGCTAGGGCCAGGGCCAGGGAGGAGCCTACAACCAAGGCACGTGCCCCTGACTGTAATTGAACCTGGGACCCTTTGGTTACAGGCCGACGCTCTATCCACTGAGTCAAACTGGCCAGGGCAGAAAACACTTTTCTAAGTAATTACTGGGTTATAGAAAAATATGAAAACTATAATTATGATTATTTTGAAAATATATAATAGTGAGATCACTGTACTTCTACTCTTCTTATGTCATGTGGCCAGATCAGTACTCAGAGGAAAATTAACAGCCACAGATGTTTTCATTATTAACTAAGACTCGAAATAAATGAGCTTATTAGTCAATTCAAGAGTTATTAAAAGAATAGCAACACAAGTTGAACAACTGGAAGGAGTGTTACAGGATTTCAGGGCCGGAGGAATAGGGAAACTGAGATAGGAAAGTTAAAACAAGGCCAAACAATGTGGGTAATTTGCAGCCAGCTTGTAACTAACAAGCCATTATCTTCCCCAGCCAAGGACACAAGAGCAAATGGTTAAAAACCTCCCTGATGAGAGAAAGCAGAAAAGAAGGGGGAAAGGGAAAAGGGCCATTTTACTCCCTAAGCCAGTGGTTCTCAACCTTGGCTGCACATTAGAATCACCTGGGAATCTTTTTAAAATCCTGATTTCTGGGCCTCCTCCTCCGGAAATTCTGTTTCTTATGGGGTGGGGCCACAACATTAGTAACAAAGAAACAGAATTTCCGGAGGAGGAGGCCCAGAAATCAGGATTTTAAAAAGATTCCCAGGTGATTCTAATGTGCAGCCAAGGTTGAGAACCACTGCTCTAGAGGGTTCTGGAGCTGCCAAATTTGGCCACCTTGATGGGGGAGGTCCAGCAGATCCATCACCACTGCAGCTAAACCTCCTGTAGCCAAACAAGCACAATGTTAGGTTATTTTCAGCAATTTTTCTGAACCACACCCAGAAATACAATCATAGAGGTAACAACAGAGGTTTCTTGTTTTTTGTTTTGTTTGTTTGTTTTTTTAACTCTCACTGGAGGGTGTGCCTTCATTGATTTGAGAGAGAGAGAGAGAGAGAGAGGGAGAGAGAGAGAGAGAGAGAGAGAGGAAGAAAACCCATCAATGTGAGAGTGAAACATCAATTGATTGCCTCCTGCACTTGCCCGACCAGGGATCAAACCTGCAACGTGGGTATGTGACTTGACCAGGAATCGAACCCAAACTCATAAGTGAAGGCCCCACTGTATATAGGTTTGCTTATTTTGATTTTTCAATAAAGGTGCATGCTTTAATTGCTTTAATAAATTGGCTTTTCACAACAGAGTCAAGGTCTCTGGTATAAATTCATTTATATGAGAAGACAAGGATCAAGGTTGGGTACAGCCCTCTCCATTGACTCTGGGCTGTCCTGTCTGGTAACACCTCTCTGCTGTTGGTGAGAGGTGCCTCTAACACAGGGGTGGGCAAACTTTTTGACTCGAGGGCCACAATGGGTTCTTAAACTGGACCGGAGGGCCGGAACAAAAGCATGGATGGAGTGTTTGTGTGAACTAATATAAATTCAAAGTAAACATTATTACATAAAAGGGTACGGTCTTTTTTTTTTTTAGTTTTATTCATTTCAAACGGGCCGGATCCGGCCCGCGGGCCGTAGTTTGCACACGGCTGCTCTAACAGGAGGACTTAATAAATGTAAATAAGATAGATAAGTCAGAAATAGAAAGACAAGAAATGAAATTAATTCAAGAACACGTTCTTTGAAAATACAACAAAAAATAGCAAGACTTCTGGCAAGTCTAATGGAAAATGAGAAAAAAAATTAATGTATTCACTACCAAATATATAGGGAACATAGCAACACATATTTTATGGGAAATATTCTATAAAGCTCATGAGATTACTGGAAAATCTGAATGAATTCAATGATTTTCTTAGAAATTATAAGGAGTCTAAATATATTTTAAAAGAAGTATAAGCCCAGCCAGGTGTAGTTCAGCTGTTGAGCATCGACCTTGGAACCAAGAGGACACGGGTTCCATTCCCAGTCAGGGCACATGCCCGGGTTGCGGGCTCTATCCCCAGTGGGGGGCTTGCAGCAGGCAGCCAATCAATGATTCTCTCTCATCATTGGTGCTCCTATCTCCCTTCCTCTCTGAAATCAATACAAATATATTAAAAAAAGAAGAAATTCTGAAATGATTAAAAGTGAGAAAAAATGGAAAATTTTCAGAGAACTGCTTGCCCCAAATATGCAAGGTCCAGATCATTTACTGGTAAAGTTTTTATTTCTTATGCTTTTAAAATATTTCTCTATATAGAAAATATTGGAACTATTTTATCAAATTTTCAAGATGGTAATGTAATGATTTTTAAAAATCATCAAGAATTAGCACATGAAAAGGAACCCATGTGCTATTCTTCTTATAAAATTAGATCTAAAAATCCAAGGAAAAACAATAGCAAAATAAGTAAAGTAGCATGTTAAACAGCTTCAAAATGAGTACTTCTAAGGGTTGGATAAATGTAAAGAAATTTATTCGTTTAATGCACCAAATGATTAAAAACCCAATGATCATACTAATACATACTGAAGAGGCAGCTGAAAAAAATTCAACATCAACTACTGATAGAAAGAACTTTTAGTAAACTAGGAATAAAACATACTTTTATCTCAAGACACATGATATTTACAGTGACTCACCAGATCCTGTGGAAGATCAGCATTCTCATTAGAGTAAGGAAGGCAACAAGGCTCCATACTATTCTCACCATTATGATGTACCTGTTCTGATAGGGCCACTACAATGAGACAAAACAACAACAGCATCATCAGTTAGGTATTACTGTTCAAAAGTAGGAGATACATTTAAAATGATGTGTAGATGACATGAAATATAGGATTGCTTACCAGGAAAATGCAAGAGGATAATCATATCAAATTGAAAGGGAAAATTAATAACTGACAAAGAATGTCTGTACACACACACACACTGGTGCAAAAAAATTGAGGACAAACAAACACTTTGACAGAAAAGAAGGACAAAGCATTAAATAAGCAATTTACAAACAAAATACAAATGACCATTTAACATATAAAATGTTCAGCTTTACATGAAACAAAAAAATTGCAAATCAAAGCAGTATTTATACACTGCTGTACCATTTTATTTTCCAAAAGAGCTTTAAGGACACGGGTAAATGAACTTACACATAGTGCAAAAAAACATGTACACAGACATAAAACCTTTGAAAAGAATTTTACATTTTTGCATATCATTTGATGCAGGACAATGAAAAATAAATACACACATAGTGCAAGAGAGATATGTACACAGACATAACAGTTCTGAAAAGAATCTTACATTTTTTTGTATATCATTTGCCTCCAAAACTTAAATTTTAAGAATTTATACCAAAGGTGTTATTACAAGTGAGCAAAAAATTGTTAGCATCCAGAATATTTATTATAGCATTTTATTATAGTAAAATGGAAAATAAGAAATTAGAATTAAAAGCAAATGATTCATTACCACTATATTATAGAGGAATAGTTAATGATGTGGAAATATATCCAAAATACACTAAGTTCAAGAAAGAAGGGGACAAAGCTTCATAATAGTATAACCTCAAGTTTGTTAATGAGACTAATAGAAACAATACAAGTTTAAGGTGTACACTATGTTGATTTGATACATTTATATATTGCAATATGCTTATCACCATCGTGTTAGCTAACACCTTTACCACATAACATAATTATAATTTCTTTTTTGTGGTCAGAACAATTAAGATGTAGTCTCTTAGCAACCTTGAAATTTATAGTACAGTATTTTTGTCCATACTGTGCTGTGCCTTAGATCTCCTAGACTTATTAATTGGTTTCAAGTTTCTACTCTTAAACACAGCTCCAATTCCTAGTTTTGTTTTTAAAAAGAAATCTTATTTGTATACACACACACACACACACACACACACAGAGAGAGAGAGAGAGAGAGAGAGAGAGAGGAAGACCCAAGGCTAAGAAAGATATGTTCCAAATATTTGGACATTAACAATGGTCATTGATGCTGGTGGAATTACAAGTGATTTCTACTTTTGTCTTTTGGCTTCTCTGTTATTTTCTATAAAGAACTTAAATTGCTTTTTTTTTTACCTTTAAAAAATGATGCAACAAACATTGGGAAGTCATAATTCAATAGGGAAGAGATTTTCTTCTCTCTTCAAATGAATGGCTTAGACTACAATTCAGCATTTTCCTGTCTTCAATCTTAGTCACATAGATGATTAAGCAAAAGAAAAGGAGGTATTTGATACTTTTATGACGTTTCAGGCTAAAGGAAAGCTGAATTGGATTTCTGTCTCTAACATGGCTTTTGTTTTTTGATGCCAGTTATCAGCTTGTTGCAATCTCTATCTATTGACTTTTCTTTCCCATGATGACTTTATCTTGTCTAACATTTGCCAAGATAACTTGATCTAGTCTGACCTTGTTTGCAAGGGTTAGTTATGTGAGCTTTTCCTTCTAGGAAATTTTCAGTTTAGTGAAATGAAAATTCACTAAATAGTGACACTTCTAGAATGGTTGGGCTAACTTTTGGCTGCCTCTCCCTCTAGTCTAACTTCGCCTGACTCTGAGCCCTTGCAACCAAAGTGGAGGAAAGGCAAACAAGTTTCCTCAGGTGGAGTTAGCAAACACAAATGGGTCAGATGATAAGATACCACCCTAATTAGGAGGGGGAAATGGTGTGACTCTCAAAGTGTTGAAGAAGTGTCATTGTTTGCATTTTCTCATTGTTGCTTTAAAAATCCAAACTTTCTATTTAACATCCGGGTCACCCAACCTAATTTTCCCACTCATGGTTTTCAAGCCACAAGGTCGAGTTTGGGGAGCAAATGCATGAAGAGGCAGCATGGAAGAGAGGACAGCCCTGACATGGACCCTCTGTGGGGCTTCTACTGGCCTCTACAGAGTGCCCCCCAGGGAAGGAGTCTTGTCCATTCTTTATCTTACTCAGAGCATCTCTGAGGTTTTGCCGCAGTTTCAGCTTTTACACCATGATGACCTGAGATGCAGTGTGGTTCAGTGTGGTGGAGAGAGGGTTCAAGTGACACCTATTCACTCCTCCCATTGCCACCAATGCCTTGAACACGAGCCTTGATTTCCTCACTGTAAGGTAATTAGAACAACTGCACCAGTGAGGTGCTCTTTGGAGGATTAAAGAAAGAACCCAGCAGACCTAGTTTGTGGTGGGCAGCTCTTAATAACTGCTCTATGGCATCACTGACCAATGTGCTCACCAGCCACATGTGGCTACTTAATTTAATCAAGAATTCCTTTCACAGCAGCACCAGCCCCATTTCAAGTGCTCAACAGTCACCCATGTCTACTGGCTACCACTTTGTGTGGTGCAGCTATGAGCATTTCCATCATCACAGGGTGTTCCATTGGACAGCACTGCTCTCTGTCATCAGCTGTGATTTTGCACAGCTCCCACACCTTCGGGCTGACCAAAATCATTCCCTTTGAATTGGAAGCTGGGCCAGGATGTTTGCCTGCTGAAGTGTGAGTCAGGTAAGGCCCTTCTTGCAAGGCCTTTGTCATCAGAGATAGAAAGGAGTGATATTAGCTTTCCAAATTAAGATAGCTTATCTGCGTGGCTCTGGGGCAGGAGAATTCTGACTTTGAGTCAGCAGGGGAAACATTCTTTCAAGCTAGAGTTTGCAAGGCACAACTAACTTGTTTTCCAAACAGGTTTTTGTAAATAACTGACAGGAGATGGGCTGCTTCTATCAAAGTATTAACCCAAGTGATGGGGGTTAATCATTAAACCTTCTAGCTGGTGGCTTGCTTGTTTCTCTGCTATTCTAATCTGGGTCACAGAACGGTTAAGGCAGCTCTAAGTGGAGGGCAGGGTTTGTTTTATATTTTCCTTTCTCTGTTTGCCCTTAGCTTTCCACCATGAAACTGTGTTGTGGACTCTTTCTCCTGGTGACTACTATTCATGTTGAACTCTGTGAATCAGGTATGTCACCTTGAAACTTAAAAATAGATTAAGTTCTCTGTTGTCTGATTGGCAAGTCTTTGACTTAAAGAACTAGTTATTTTTCTAAATTTGCAACTGAATGAAGGCTTGAAAGTTAAGCCTCTGTTCTATTAATTTGGATAAAACTATTAAAACATCTATGATAACTAAATTTAACCTTTTGGGAATATTTGCGGCCAAGTATTTGTAGCTCTGTTTTCTGGTCACTCCAGTTGCATTAAATATTATAATTTTGCAGGCTGTTTGGCACATTTTGCCATCACATGCTGCTCTTTCAAGCGCTCAGTAGCCACCTATGTCTGCCATATTGGACAGCACAGATACAGAACGTTCCATCATTCCGGATAGTTTCATTGGATGGCACTGTTCTATATCATTAGCTTTAATTTTATACAACTGCCAGACCTTAGCATTGACCAAAACCATTCCCTCTGCAAGAAAATGCTTTTACAGTGAGCTTAGTATCAGGCCAGCTTGGGAGATAAAACAGTTAGTGGAGCATCTATGTGTTCATTTTTAAAACTTAGTTTCTAATAACACTGTGCTTTCTTTAGTAATGGGCCCTTCTTTATAATTATCTTAAGCTTGAATAGATTATTCCAAAGACCTCACTCTGGTGTTTTATTAAATAATGGATTCAAATGGAAATTATTAATAAAATGGTTTTGCTTAAAGTATTTATGGTAGCTATCCAAACTGATGGATAAATATATGCAATTAGTATGTGTTGCTGGATTTGTGAAGCCACATGTGAGATATAAAGATGTGTTCCTTTCAATGTCACACATTCATTGAGCACCTATTATGTGTCAAGTATATGCACAGCAGGCAGCTAAACTACTATGAACATTCCTGTCCCAAATATTCCCAAAAGGTTAAATGTAGTTCCCGTATGCTTTCTTTTCCTCGGATATTTACCAGGAGTGAAATTGCATATTTAGCTTTAGTAACTCTTTCCTTATCATCTTCTAAATTGTACATTTACATTCCTTTTATGCATGGAGACTATCTCTTTGAAATGTTTTGAATGCTCTAGCTTTCAATCCTTTAAAACTTACCCAAGATAAGTAGTTCCATTGGGCAGGATACTTAATCTAGAACTATGTCAGTCCTGTTTTAATCTAAATCATTTGATGCTTTGGTTTTGTGAAGAAAAGTCAACTCCTACCCAACACCAGTTGGTTTACACTCTTGGAATTAAGAGGAAGCAATGAAAAGACAGAAGATCAAGTAAAATTATCCCAAACATCTGAAAAACAACTTAATCTCGGGCTCCAAGTAGATCTGGCTAGCATCTTCATCTACATCTGCTTCACTGAGCATGTCATTTTCATATTCATTTGAGCAGGCTTATCTCCATCTCAGCATTCTGTTAATAAGCCTTTCCTGTGTAAATAATGTCTGTGTTTAACCCTGAACAACAATGGTCTTTTTTGAAGTTTGTAGACATGAAATCTTTCTACACTTCAGCTCTTTAAGCAGGTCAGAGGGACCAAAGGGAGAATGAAACTCAAAATCATTTTCCCTTATATTTATGAAAGTCACTTTGAGGAAAGAGGATATCAAAATTAGTCACTAAAATGAAGATCTGGGTTTTATTTGTATTTCAGCAAGTCATTCTTTTTATGTCTGAATTTATTATAGGTAGTGAAAGAGAGCCTATCTAAACCCAGTCTTCCTTTATGCTCAGAGAGTTGTTTCACTACAATGTAAATTAGTTTTTAAAATCCATCCTGTGAGCAAAATAGCCATGACCAATAGACATATGAGACAGCCCCTCTGGTTTTCAGTCCGTGAGAATGCTTCGAACACAGTGGTGGCTTCAGATTTTGTCTAGTGATGGGTGGGGAGGCTATGAGGGAACTATGTTGAAATTACAAGCAAGCTTCCCTTTCACTGAAATCTGTTTATATAGAATGGCTATGAGAGAGGTGCTGATGGAAAATACCATAGGCTAAATTCCCCCCAGTTCATTCCATGAGGACACTACTGTCTACATACTTACACCTTTACACGTGTAAAGTTGCACACACATACAAAAAAAAACCCAAAAAACAAAACCAGCAATAAATTAGTGACACAGAGTAGCTGTTGCTACTCATATGGTACACAACATTTTCCAAACCCGAATTGGGCAACATGGTTGACTACAATGATTGTCCTTAGGAAATGCTCTTCATTGTGACTATAGACCAGTGGAGAGAATGGTGGTAAACATGTGTTACGAAGGAAGAGAACTACTTTGAAAACAATAGGGTGGGTTGGGGGCTGCTTATGTTGAGTGATCAGAAGTAGACCTCTCTGAAGAGATGTGATTTAAACTGAGACTGGATTAACAAGAAGCCTGTAAGGGGAGCAACGTTCCAGGCAGGAGGAGCTGGCACTTGGCAGGACGTCCTGAATGGAGGGACGTGCTGGTCCTGCTGCCAGACAGTGTGAGTCCCAGCAATACTGCTGTTGTGGCTGAGTGACAAGTTTGCCTAATGAATCAGGATGTGTTTAAAATGCAATGCAAAGTCTTGAGCTGACTTCCACATGCCCTACCATAAAGGAGGCTTCATCTTATTTTTCTGTAATATATTTTTATTGATATCAGAGAGGGAGAGGGGGAGAGATATATAAACATTAATGAAGAGAGTCATTGATCAGCTGCCTCCTGCATGCCCCCCACTGGGGATCAAGCCCGCAACCTGGGCCTGTGCCCTGACTGGGAATTGAACTGTGACCTCCTGGTTCATAGGTCGATGCTCAACCACTGGGCAACACTGGCCAGGCAAGGAGGCCTCATCTTTATACCAACACTTCCCCTGTGGGAAAGGGCACAACAGAATACTAGATGGGCTTGAAGATAACTTTGCAGAGAGGTGGCCATATCCCTTGTGGCCCCTGGATGGAAGACATGCTTGGCAACTGGCTCAGGTTTGAAATCTTCTGCCTTTTAGAGATCTTTTGGTGCCGATGTGGGGCAGAATAAATTCTGGAGAGTAGCTGTTATGGAATGAATTGTGTCCCCTCAAAATTCATATGTTGAAATCCTAGCCCCCAGTACCTCGGAATGTAATTGTATTTAGAGATATGGTCTTTAAAGAGGTAATTAATGTAAAATGAGGTCTTATACATGGGCCCTAATCTAATACGAATGGTGTCTTTAAAAGAAGAGAAGATTAGGACACAAGTACAGAGAGGGAAGACATGTGAAGAGAGGAAAGCCATTGACTAGCCAAAGAAAGAGCCCTCAGAAGAAATCAACCCTCTCCACACCGTGATCTTGTACTTCTATCCTCCAGAATGGTGAGAAAATGCATTTTTGTTGTTTAAGCTATCTAGTCTGCAGTATTTGTTACAGCAACCCTATCAACACAGTAGCAGACATCCATTTCTAGGATGGCTTCAGGAATTCAAATCTTGAACATTTGCTGTCTACTGTTTTGCCCACCCCATTATTGCTTATTCTATGAATATTACAGAAAACTTGAAGATACTGAGATGCACTGAATTGAAAATGTTATAGAGTAACTCACTAACGATAGTCAAGAAATAAACAGAATAATGAGTACTCTCATTTTCATCCCACTTTTTGCCTGGTCCTTACTATAGTATCTCTTATACCAGCTTAATCACCTCCAATGACAGCGAGCTCAGTATCTCCTGAGGATGTCCTGGCATATTGGGAAACCCACAGTTGGCATATTCTTGGTCCAGTGTAACATTGACTGACTGTGAAAGAGAATGTCCTTTCTAAAGGGAGGCCTGGCTGCATGCACGCAGGAGGTGCTGGAGAGCTGAACCGATCCAGTCCCCATCAGCCCAAGCAGGCGGTGGGAGAGAAGGCTGGGGATTCGGAGAGGCAGAGGGTGTGAGGCTACAGAGAGGCTGTGGCATTTCCACTCTTTTCCCCATAGCACTCGGGCGGGACTGAGTTCCAATGTGTATACACCCTGCAGCCAGGTGGGGTGCTGACAGCTGGGCCCATGCTGAGTTGGGGCCCATGCCGCACCAGTGACTGTGTGTTCTGAGTGATCGCCTTGCTTGTTTCCCTTTCAGCCTCCAGTCAGGTGGAGAGTTGCTCACAGAGAGTACAGTTGTCTGGTTGTATGTGAGGGGAGAGACTTTGTAATAGCCAGAAGCAACAGGAAAGTTACCCATCTGCTCCAAATGTCATCAAGGAGTGGGGAAGTAAGAGCTGACAGCACCCAAAGGCAATGGTGAGGGAAACATGGATCTCTTTCTTTATTGTGCTCTACTGAGGCCAGCCTGTTGAACCGCATTGCTGTGGTAGGATCCAGAGAATTCTGTAACCTTACTGAAAACCTACTATGTGCTAGCCCTGAAATTACTATAAAGGATAAGACCAAATCTAGCCTGATTCATGCTTTTATGCAGTTCACAAACAAAGGATGACTTCTACATTTTTAAATGGTCAGAAAATAAAGAGGAAGAATATTCATGACACCTGAAAAGTATCTGAAATTCAAATTTCAGTGTCCACACATAAAGTCCCATTGGAACACAGCCATGGTAATTTGGGCACCTATGGTCTATGGCTGTTTTCCTGAGACAAGGAAAGACATGAAATATTTAGTGGGCCCTTTACAGAAAAGTTTGCTAGCCCCCATAGAAGACCATGACCTCTGATCCCAAAGGGTGTCAATCTAGCAAGAGAAAACCTCTTAGAAATAGTTCAATGACAAATTGTTTTTTTAAATGATAGTCCTTACAGTGAATTGGTCTTAATCTTTCATAATGAACATCAATCAGATCAAATTAAATAATGTGAACTACTTTGAAGCATACAGGGAAAAACCATGTGTCGTAAATTATTAATCTCTATGGAATTCCCATTGTGCTATTCTATAGCTGTAGATATAAAAATCAGAATGGGCTATGCAATTGACTGGACTCCGTGCAAAACCAAAATGCAGGCCTTGTTAAAAAATGATTAAGAATTTCAACATGGCAACAACAGAACTTTAAGGGCAGGGGCCTGTGTGTCATCCTGGTCCCTTGCCCAAAAAGCTGGCCCTGGCAAGGATTATAGGAAGCTGGATTAAACGTGATGAAAATGAGGCAAGTCCTTTGAAGTAATGACTTCCAAATTTTGTTAGGAAATGGTTTTACTATTTGCTTTAAAAATTTTAAATTATTTATTGTTGAAAGTATTATATATGTCTCCTTTTTCCCCCACTGACCTCTCCCCGGCTGCCCCTCCCTCCCCCAGCACATGTCCCCACACTCCTACTGTCTGTGTCTTTTGGTTGTGCTTATATGCATACATACACATCCTTTGTTTGATCTCTTACCACCCCGCTTTGCTTTTTTTTTTTTCAATCAGAAAGGACAATGGATGAAAAATTCTGTGGAAAGAAGGCTCTAGTTAAATTAGGTCAGGTTACCTGAGGTTTTCATGGGACTTTGATTGAGGATGGCAAACAGATGTTTTCAAGTAGTTTTTTAAAAATATTTTTTATTGATTTCAGGGAGGAAGAGAGAGATAGAAACATCAATGATGAGAAAGAACAATTGATCAGCTGCCTCTTGCAGGTCCCACACTGGGGATCAAGCCCACAACCTGGGCATGTGCCCTGAATGGGAATCAAACTGTGACCTCCTGGTTCATAGTTCGATGCTCAACCACTGAGCCATGCAGGCCGAGCAATTTTTAAGTTTTTAAAATAAGATTTAGGCCAGATTTATTAAAACTGTTTCACCGGGAATTTTAAAAATTGAAATGTATTTTATATAAATATTGTGTGAGTTTAAGGTGTATAACATATTGATTTGATACATTTACATATTGCAATATGATTGCCATTGTAGCATTAGCTAACACCTCCATCATGTCACATAATTATTTTTGTGTGTGATGGGAATACTTAAGACCTAGTCTGTTAGCAAATTTGATATTTATAAATATAGTATTATTGTCCATCATCACTATACTGTGCACTAAATCTCTAGGACTTATTTATCTACTAGTTGCAAGTCACAGGTATATTATAATGTTGAAAGTAGTTTCTATAGAAAATATAATCTAAGTTTAGATTATTTCCCAAGATTACGCAAATGTGTTGTTTTTTTTTAGAATAATTTATTTTTTTGCAATAGAGTTAGTTAACTCAGGCATGACATTTTCTTTCTGAGTTAATGGTGTAGGGCACAAATGGGTTTCCTCCTCTGCCTATTCAAGGAAAAGTCTTGTGATCTAAAAAAGGAACAACGTGCTGTTGTATCCATGGTAAGGGGATTAACAGTCTTGTGCTTGTAAGACAGCATCCCAGCTCCTATTTAGTCCTTTTGATTTCCAGAAACAAGAGCCTGATTCTTAGACCCCTTGGATGCACTTGGCCCTGTTTGGCGCCATTGATGAGAAATGGCAATGGAGCCAATTCTTGGAGAATCACCTTCGGTCCAGGCCTCCCCACGCTTGAGGAAAGGCATTGGGCACTTGTACCTTTTTAGTGATTTGCTGAAAGAAGCCACTTATGTACGCATCAAAATCATTTCTTGGTAAAAACTACTGGTCAAAATGATTATTGAAGTAAATTTAAAGAATTCCATCAGACCCATCTATATTTACAGTCTGAAAATGTAGTTTCTCTTTAGCTGTGCTAATGGCATCTCAGTTTATTACATTAAAACACTCTTTAAAAGACATATTTAGGTCAATAAGTGTTGGTTGATTAATTTATCCACTTGGGCAAATCTTAGAGCAGCAGTTCTCAACCTGTGGGTCCCGACCCCTTTGGGGGTCGAACGACCCTTTCACAGGGGCCGCCTAAGACCATCCTGCATATCAGATATTTACATTATGATTCATAACATTAGCAACATTACAGTTATGAAGTAGCAACGAAAATAATTTTATGGTTGGGTCACAACATGAGGAACTGTATTTAAAGGGCCAGAAGGTTGAGAACCACTGCCTTAGAGGAACTTCAGTGTGGCCCCATTTGGAAGAAAGATCAGGGAAGAAGTCACCTTATTTATACACAATCTATATATGGAAGGAATTTGTGTATTTGGTTGTTAACCACTAAAGTCTATACCAGTGGTCGGCAAACTGTGGCCCGCGAGCCACATGCAGCTCTTTGACCCCTTGAGTGTGGCTCTTTCATAAAATACCACGTGCGGGCACGCACGTACAGTTCGATTGAAACTTCGTGGCCCATGCGCAGAAGTTGGTATTTTGTGGAAGAGCCACACTCAAGGGGCCAAAGAGCCGCAGTTTGCCGACCGCTGGTCTATACAATCAGTCTTCATGTTACTTCCATTTTAGCACCAACTTTCCTCACATTTACATTTCCTCTTAGCTACCCCTATGTACACTATGTTCAGGAATCTTTGTATACTACACAGTTATTTGTATTACTATGTTGTCTGAATATCTCTGAGTGGGTAAAGTTCTGTAGAAGCAATCTTCTTCCTTTCCTTTACCCCTTTTTTATTTTTGCAGTCCTGACCCAATTTACTTTCTCTTTGTCCCTCTTAGAATAATGTACACAGTGAGTAGAAAGAAGAGAGTTCATTACTCCATTCTGCAATTCATTCATCCGCCCCTTCTTTTCAGTCACTGAGTGCCCACATTGGCCACAGGCCAAGAATACAGGGGCTCACAGTGTAGGGCAGATTTGGACCTTGACCTCATGTCCCAGAGCCCAGAGAAGTTTTGTGTGGCAGATGACAACATCTTTGAAAGTCTCCCTGGTGACCCTCACCAGGGATGTTCTTTGTTTGAAGGCAATGAAGTTCAAATCTGGGCAGGGATGAGCAACCCTTCTGACAAAGGTGCCCTTTGCCCTCCCCACTGTCCTGGGTCTATTCTCAGACAGGGCATGGAGTCTTGTGTGCAGATTCTGACATCTCAGTACTTATTGGCTTCCACTTGGGTTTCTCAACTTTTGGTGCCCTCAGGACACTGTGACCTTGGTCTTCAAGGGTCTTAGTGGCACTAAACGTGTGCACCTGGCACTTATGAGCAGGGTCATGGAATCTAAATGCCCTTGCAGTAGGAAATCTTCCTAACCATGCCTAACCATATTGCCTAATCAATGTTAGTTTTTAGTAAACATTTATGTCATATCTATAGTTCATTATATCGTACCCAGACAAGTTTTTCAATTACTCTTTAGCTCTTGCTAAAATATATCTATATATTAATTTATATGGACATATACATATGTTTTAATTTAGAATAATTTTAGATTTTAAGAGTTGTACAGAGAGTTCCTGTCTAATAATGGTTCTCAACTGGGACAATTCTGTGTCCCATCCTCATCCTAGGACATTTGGAAACATATGAGGACACTGTTGGTTTTAAAACTGTGGTAGGTAAGGGGATATGAGGAAAGAGAGGTGGTATTGTAATATAGTCGGTAGAGGCCAGGAATGATCAAAACTTCCTACAAGGAACAGGACAGCTGCCAACATGAGGACAGGCCCCAAATGTCAAAGTGCTGAGATTGAGAAACCCTGCTCTAGACTCTTCACCCAGCTTCTTTTAATGCTATTATCTTGCTGAAGCAATGCATTCATCACAACTAAGAAATTAATGCTGGATCAATACTATGGACTCCAGAGTTCACAATTTCATATTGCCTGAGGGTTTCTCATGATTTACCAATCTAAGGATTTTCGGAGAAGAGAATCACAGAGGTAAAGTAGCTTTCTCCAGATCTGGTGTCAGGGGTGCATCATGTCCACATCACATCACTGGTGATGTTGAACTTGATGCTTTGGATCAGGTGGCATCTGCCAAGTTTCCCTTTTCAACCTGTATATACTAAAGAAAGCCTCTAAACCCACTGAGTTGTGTCCCAATGGAAACGTTAAATATAATTAAAGAACTTGAATTCATGGTAAGGGACAGTGTAGTACCATGGTGAGGAGGACACAGGGAAGAACTGATGGAGTGTATGTATTCCTCTTCCTGTTTATTTTTCTTACAGCATTTCTCCCACCTGGCAGTGTGTACATTTATTTACTTGGTTATCGTCTGTCCCCACCCCTTTAGAAATCAAGCTCCAAGGGAGAATAGAGCTATTTTCTGCCTCTAAAGACAAATACCACAAAATTCATGTTTGAGCAGTATTTAAAGAGACTTTAGGTGGAAGGAAAATCATAGGCAAATGTTCAAATGACCACTTACTTGGCTCCTGGCCTCCTCTCTTATGCCAGCAGTATTACTTGGTGTTTGTTTAGTTTATAAAAATGGCATGTGCTACATATAACATTACAACTCCTACCTTTTTCATTCAATAAGTGTAGTTTTGATATTTACCCTTTTATTAAAAAATGGGTAGCTCTAGTTCAGCAGATTTCCACTGGAGGTGATTTTTGTCCTTCAGGAGATATTTGGCAATGCCTGGAGACATTTAAAAAATATTTTTATTGATTTCAGAGAGAGAGAGAGAGAGAGAGAGAGAGAGAGAGAGAGAGAGAAACATCAATGATGAGAATCACTGATCGGCTGCCTCCTGCACACCCCACACTGGGGATCTAGCCCACAACCCAGGCATGTACCCTGACCAGGAATCAAATTGACCTCCTGGTTCACATATTGACACCCAACCACTGAGCCACGCCAGCTGGGCTGCAGACATTTTTGATTGTCACTAGCGGAGGTGGCCTAATGACAACTACTCGAGAGAGGCCAGGGTTGCTGCTAAACATCCTGCAACGCACAGCACAGCTACCCAACACAGAATTATCTGGCTCAATAGTCTAGATGCCCTGGGCTCTTTCTTTCCTTGAATCTGTGGACTGGCTTGATAGCACAGACCAGATTTACGTGATCCATTCCCCTACTGATGGACATTGAGGTTGTTCCAGTTCTCAGCTCTGAGAAAGAGTTTGACAGAGAACAGTCTCACTGATATATTTCTCTCTTTCTCTCTCTCTGTAGGAGAACTGCTGGTAGCCACATTCTGTTCTAGGAAACATTTCCAGAATGGCTGGACCCACAGACACCCCCTGCACTGCCTGGGATTCCAATTCTCTGCATCTTTACCAGCATTTGTTGCTATTGTACTTTTTAATTTTTAGCTACCTGAAGAGCTTAAATGAGTAGCTCATTTTAAAAAATCTTTACATTGTCTGATTATTAATAAGGGCAAAACCATGAATAATTCACATGCTACGGCATTCTACAAAACTGGGGACAATACTTTGGCCAAGCATGCACTTCATTTTGTTCATCTCTGTATCTTGGGAATGTTTTAAACACACCATTTTGGGAGAACAAGCTTGACTGTTTCTGCCAGTAGAGGTCACTGTCCCTCAGCGGTTCTCCACTAATGTGTTTCTGTGTTCCCTCCCTCCCTCCCTTCCTTCCTTCCTTCCTTCTTTCCTTCCTTTCTCTCTCTCTCTCTCTCTCTCTCTCTCTCTCTCTCTCTCTCATCTCCCCCCAACCCCCCACCCCCACCTCCTGGAAGAATATTTGACAATGACATTTTCACAATGTGGGTATGCTTCTGGCACCTAGAGGTTAGAGACCAGGGACTCTGCTAAAACCAATGCAGAGGACAGCACCCAACAATTATCTGGCCCCAAATGTTAACAGTGCCAAGCTGGAGAAACTGTGGTGTGGAAGAACCCTATTATATGAATTGGTGCTTAGGTACCTTTCCAGGTAGCTGCCCATGATTACAGGGTAGTGGGGTGGGGGTCGCCAGGGGCTATTGGGCTCCCAATCATTCCTGCTTTTTGGAGATGCAGAGCAGATAGGGCTAGATCGACAAAGGCTAGGTGGTAAGTGGGCATCAGGGTGCAAGGACAGCACGTGGGGTGTTGGCATATGAGGACCATCTGTGCACTGGATCCTGCACATGCCAGGCCAGTGCCACCCTCACACTATAACCTCACAAAATGCCCCCTGCTCTCTGAGGCCTGGGGAACCTCAGCTTCCCACACTGCTGGCCCCAGGTGTTTGGCTCTAGGCAGAGGGGCCTAGGAGGCCTTGACTTCTGTACTTGACATTTAAAGGGATAAAATGTAATCATTTCCACCAGGTTCATAAAGTCACAGAACATTGACAGAAGGGAACATTACTTCATTATTGAAAAAATGAACATAATACACTTGCATGCTATTTTAAGGAAAAACAATGGATTTACTTTTACTAGTACTAGTAAAGGATTCCTGTTTCATTCTTCTAGAATGGTTGCTAATGTCACTTTTTGCAATTTTGCTCTTAAGGAAATGGTGAAAGCCATTCAGGATTTTATGTTTTAGTACTGACGACGTTGATTTAATGTGGACTCTCACATAATTTTCTTTTTAAAAAATACATATATTTTTTATTGATTTAAGAGAGGAAAGGAGAGGGAGAGAGATAGAAACATCAATGATGAGAGAGAATCATTGATCAGCTGCCTCCTGCACACCCCTCACTTGGGATTGAGCCTGCAACCCAGGCATGTGCCCTTGACCAGAATTGAACCTGGGACCCTTCAGTCTGCAGGCTGACACTCTATCCACTGAGCCAAACCGGCTAGGGCAACTCTCACATAATTTTCCATCTTCATCCATTCACGGGTAGATTTGTTCTCTCTAACACTAATGTCATTTCTCTCTTTTCATTTCTACGGGTAATGTTGGAGTGAAATACATTTCCCACTATAGTTGAAAACATCCAATTTCAAAACCAGAGCATCCAAAGGCTCTGGGGAACTGATTATAGTGCTTATCTTTGGAGTCTGGTTCAAGGTGGTGTGACTCAATCTCTCCTTGTGAAAATTATCCTCAAAAGCTCACGTAGAAGGCATTACAATGCTGGGATGGGAGACAGAAAGAAAATGACAGCCCACAATCAATAAAATCCAAGAGTTGGCAACAGATTTCATACAGATCTGAGAGGTGGACAGCTGAATGGCGAGGACACTAAACTTAATGAGGGAGAACCAGAAGGTTTCTGAGGTCCGTGATAGGCTAATTATCTTGGGACACAGGGGTGTGGCCAGCTGATGGGTATTGGGGAATGAGATCCCTAAGACTCTCCATTCATTGATGAATTTTTTTTGCTAATTCCTTATTTAAGGAATCATACCCAGGTGTATGATTTTGAAAACAGAAAAATTCCTATGGTGAAATTTTCTTAAGGCATTTTACATGATAGAATAACTCTTCAGAGACATCTAACATCTCTTAAGGTGGTAATAGCATCACACCAAGTAGTCTAATGCCATTGGGTATGGATTTTTTATCATGCATTTTTTCCAATGTCTACACAATTTCCCACATCCTATCTGCAATAAAACCCAGTGGGTGTCGTTCTGGTTTGAGGCTAATGACCCTGTAGCAAACCAGTCTTCTGTTGGTAAGATATAGACATAAGTCAATTAGTCATATGATTTTACTGGTAAATCAACATGTTGATTAGATAAAACCCATTTTCATAGCCACTGAAGACACATCAGTTTCTTTTTCTCATGCATCATGATGTAATGCATTTCATTAATTAGTAGATATTGGAGATTAGCATATATCAGTGGTGCTCAACTAGGGTGAGTTTGCAATAGACATTAAAGAATGATGAGAAAATTTTGGTTGTCATACTTGGGGTACCACTGGCATTCAATGGGTAGAGTCCAGGAATGCTGTTAAACATCCTACCACCGGGCAGCCTCCCACAACATAACCATTGGTATATTTACTGGGACTAGATAAAATTTATGGAGAATAAACAATTCATGGAGAATAACAACTTAAGGGAAACTGACATTAAAGATGTTTTTAGGATGACTTTCTATTCAATTACATGGTATAAATTTTATTTTTTAAATTAATTAATAAATTTTTAAAAATCCTGACCTGAGGATATTTTTCCATTGAGTTTTAAAAAAATATTTTATTGATTTTTTACAGAGAGGAAGGGAGAGGGATAGAGTTAGAAACATTGATGAGAGAGAAACATCAATCAGCTGCCTCCTGCACACCTCCTACTGGGAATGTGCCCACAACCAAGGTACATGCCCTTGACTGGAATCGAACCTGGGACCTTTCAGTCCGCAGGCCGACACTCTATCCACTGAGCCAAACTGGTTAGGGCTCCATTGAGTTTTAAAGAGTGGAAGAGAGAGGGAAAGACAGAGAGAAATATTGATGTGAGAGAAACACATCGATTGGTTGCCTCCCGCACAAGCTCCAACCAGGGCCTGAGCTGGGGAGAAGCCTGCAACCAAGGCTCTTGAACAGAATCAAACCCGGGACCCTTCAGTTCCCAGACCGACACTCCATCCACTGAGCCAAACCAGACAGGGCAAGGTATAAATTTTATTAATTCAAGTTTATTGTGTCCCTTAGGAATGTTTTACAGTTTTCTTGTTAACATTTTATGGTAAGTTCTTTCCAAAGTATTTTAGTTTTTTAATTTCCATTATAAGTTGGGCTCTTCCGTCCCTTATATTTTCTAATTGTGATTTTTATACGTCAAAGGAATTGACTTCTATAAATTAATATGGGACTCCACTGATTGTTTCTCCAATTTTCTTTATCTTTTTTTGTCTAACTTTAGTGGCTACTACTGGAATTTAATTCAATTTTATTTACTACTAGTGGCCCGGTGTATGAAATTCATGCACATTA